TAGCGATGGCCTCCAAACCTACTAGCGATGGCCTCCAACCTTCGAGCGATGGCCTCCAACCTACTAGCAATGGCCTCCAACCTAAGAGCGATGGCCTCCAACCAACCTAAGAGCGATGGCCTCCAAGCTGAGAGCGATAGGCTGGTTGCTAGATTTGGGTGTGTGCTCACAGTGATTCTCACCACTAGTAGCACGTTTCGCATCATCACACGCTCCAATCCGCAGCTTGCCAGCCAGGTTTGGGTTGAGTGCCGCCACAGAGCGGATGAGCCCACTTGGAAGCAAGAACTCCCGAGCAACGACGAGAACTCCCAACCTTTGGAGCTCATGCCCACCCAGACATGGGACACGCCCGACCCAAACCAATCCAATTTCAGCCTACCCCCAAAAAAGAAAGAAAAACGGAACAGGAAAATGTGGGTTCCACATGTTGCGCACACTTCGATGAGATTTCGGAGCATGTGGTCCAAGGGTCTCCATGTCTCCTTCGTCCGCTTGGGAGTTCGTTGGACTCTTCCCGTCTCACCGTCGAACTGATTTCGAGCCACTTGAAGAGGATGTGACCTTTTCCGAATCCGCCGGGTTTGTTCGGAATCGAGGACACATCCACAGGCCTATGTAGGCTTATGTCATCTCCGGGTTGGTGACTTCATGTTGTGTTTGCCAGCCACATTGGTTGAGGTTCATGGTCATGCAGGGCACAGATCTGGAAGTTCTGAGGTGAACTTCATCTTTGGAAAGCATTGGTAGGGCCTTTTTTGGTGCATGTCCTTAAAATGGTTGACTCTCCTGCAGCCCAGGACCCATGGGTTTGGGGTTCCATGATCATTCACGGAAAGTGAAGCTAGAAGTTACATGCAGTGACAGGCAGACCTGGAAGTTCTGAGGCAAGAACTGTAATCACGCAATCTATATACCCTAGACTTCCAACCACCATTAAATTAATAGGCTTTACCGGCTTTACCGAACCAACTAGGGACTTTACACTACAGAAACCAGGTCAACCTGTTTTTTGATGGTCTTGGAAGTCTAGGGTATGAAAGCTTCCGGCAGATGCCCCCAGACGCAACATGGCTTTGATATGGACGCCTAGAGCAGAGTGCAGCATCTCGTTGACGACCATGTGTGCAGGACTAGGCAATGAC